AGGTCACCAGGGAGGATCTTCTGGAGGATGTTATAGGGTTATCTTGTTTTGTTTTGTACTGGGGAACTGGATATTGAACCCAGGCATGATTTATTGCCAAGCCATGTCCCCAGCCCTTTCAATTTTTTTATTTTGAGGCAGGGTCTCCCTAAGTTGCCGAGGCTGGTCTTGAACTTGTGATCCTCCTGTCTCAGCCTCCCAAGTTACTGGGATTACAAGTGCGTGCTACTGCACAGAGCTGGAGTGTAGAGTATGGAAAGCAAAAACCTAACTAGAATAACTTCAAGAGAGCATAAGAAGGAGGAAAAAAATGGAGATGATGAATCACAGCCACTCTTTTGAGGAATTTTTCAATGAAGGGGTAAGAGGAAATGAACAGATACCAGAAGAAGAAACAGGGCCAAGGAGGGGTGTGGGTGTGTGAGGGTGCTTCCTGTAGCGGGGAAACGAGGAAGATCCAGGACAGAGCAAAAGGCTGATGGCGGTGGAGAGAAGAGGTGGAGGTCAGTCCCTGGTGGCCAGCAGGGTGGAGGAACTTGTAGAATCCAGACAGCAACTCAGTAATCTGTCCATTACGTCCACAGATGTTCTCTGCATCTGTGGATGCAGATGTCTCAAGCAACACGGGGTGTCCTGGAAGAAAAGCACGTTCCAGCCTGGGTCCTGGGACTTGGCTTCCTCCCGTCTGCCACCCCAGGCAGGAGTAGACAGCCACATCCCTTCACACCTGACATCCTGGTGGCTTCTCCCTGTCCCATCTCTCTGACCAAGGAATAAAGCGGTTTTCAGGCCTCTGCTGCAGATGCAGGAACACAAGGGCAACCCCAGGGGAGGTCCTGCCCATCCTGGAAACCCCTGCCCAAGGCCAGGGCAAAGACCGAGGGGCAGCCTGGGAGAAAGAGAAGACTGGACCAGGGCCTGGGCCGGAAGAGATGCAGTGGCTTAGGGCCTACCACCCCCAGATGGCAGGTGTATGGCCTAAGGGGCGTGGAGGTGGCAGAGGCAGCTGCCAAGCCCTGGCGCAACACAATCTTGCCCTGAGGCAGGGGGATGGCCTAGATGGCCTCCCACACAGTCCCCTTCTCAAGGAGCAGAAATCTAGGGTGAGGCTTCAAGGACGTCAAGTCCTCAGAGCCTCTCTGAGGAATGGGGAGCTCTCCCTGCTCATTCCCCCAAGCGCAAAGGCCAGTTTAGGGGGTACCTCCTGATCACAGGAGGAAAGGGCAGCCTCTGGCAGGGTCAGATTAACAGGACCTATGCAGTGAAGTCACCAGGTCCCTAGAGCAGAGTAACCCAAGTGCACATGCACACACACACACACACACACACACACACACACACACCCTACACACCACCGCCTCACACACAGCCACACAGGCACACATAACCTCCCCAACCACACACATCCAAACACACTCACTCATGCTGTCCACACTAACCCCAGAAACACACCATCTCCCCCACACTCAACCTTCTGCACACCCGGCATTTACTTTATAAATAGGAACAGTGTCTGCTGCACCCCAAGGCCTGGGAGAGGCTGCAGAGCCCTGAGCCCTGAGCCTCTGCTCCTGGGGGTCCTCTGTGAGAACCGGGAAGAGTGCCTGCTGGGGCAGTGCTGAGGAAGGGGGCCAGGAGGCTTTGGACAGGGTGACCAGAGGAACCTGCCCGGTCAAGAGTCAAGAAAGCACAGTCCAGGCCGAGAGAACAGCAAAGGCAAATAGCAGCACAGCTTGTTGGAGGAACAGAAAGAAGGCCACTGAGACTGAAGAGTCATCATAGGGATGGCGTGTGACCGGAGGTGAGGCGAGACTAGGTCATTTGCAACCTTATAGGCCAACCTCAGGAGAGTGGGTACTAATCTAAAGGTAATGAGAAGTCACTGCAAGGTTTTCATAGGGGAGTGACATGATGCGGTTTATATCATTAGAAGAAACCATGGGAGACATTTTTATTTAAATATTCTCAGAGTGGCAAAGGCATTTCTAAATAAGACCAAACCCAGAGGGCATTAAAAAAAAAGATTAATGTATTTGACTACATAAAAATGTTTTATTCTGCTTGATAAAAACTCCATATAAAACTTAAAATATAAATGTCAAACTGGAGAGAGGAAATTCTATTCCTATCTCAGACAGAGGACTGGTTTCCTTAATATATAAAGAGCTCCTAGGGGGGCTGGGGATGTGGCTCAAGCGGTAGCGCGCTCGCCTGGCATGCGTGCGGCCCAGGTTCGATCCTCAGCACCACATACCAACAAAGATGTTGTGTCCGCCGACAACTAAAAAATAAATAATTAAATTCTCTTTCTCTCTCTCTCCCCCCCCCACTCTCTTAAAAAAAAAAAAGAGCTCCTAGGAAATCAATAATAAAAAGGCAACCATCGAATTATAAATGGACAAAGAACAATTCACAGGAAAATAAACGAAAATGGCTTTTAAATGTATGAAAAGATGTTCAATCTCACTCCATGATAGGAGAAATGTAAAATAAAAGTATAATGAAGTACCACCAGCAATAATCGTAAAGTTTGGGAACACTACAGTGAAAAGGGTATAGAGAAACAAGAATTCTCACGTCCAAATTTTTAAATGAACATATACCTTCAACCCAAAAGTTCCACTGCTAGGAAAGTATCCTATAAACAAAATTTTTAATGAATTCAATAATGTTTATTCAAGGATATTTGTTGCAATGGTGTTTGAGATAGAAAGGAAGACTAAAAACAGCCTTAATTTTCATTAAAAGAGGACTGATTAAATAGATTATAGAAAAATATACTATTTAGTTCTTTTACAAAAAGAAGAAGAAGAGGAGGAGGAGGAGGAGGAAGAAGGAGGAGGAGAAGAAGAATCTGCTCTTTACCTACGGGTAAGGGAAATGTCCAATATTTTTCAAATGAAAAAGGCAAAGTGCCCACTTACCTTCCTGGCATCCTTCCATAGATTAAATGAATGCTGTCGCCATAGTTGAATATGCACAAATGACTCAGGAAGGAAAAACATGTGGGCAGCCCTCACCGCTCAGGTCTGGCCTTGGAAAAGTGCACATCATCAGTGGACAAATGGGAGTTAAAGTCCCCGGAGCTCACCTGAGAGAGAGAAGGGTCCTGGGACTTGGCCACCTAGAACCCAGGACATGAAGGTTCCCAGATGTGAGGACATCAGGAACGGGTGTCAAGGAAGCCCGGGAAAGAAAATGCTCTGAGAAGAAAGGAGGGGCCAGTTTTTTCAGGTGCTTCTGAAGGTCGAAGAAGATGGAGACTGAGACATGGCTGTCAGGGTTGGCATCATGGAGATTCATGGTGGCCTTGACAAGCTGTATTTAGTAATACAGTAGGGACAGGAACATTGTTCCCATGAGTTGGAATGGGGCTAGGAGGTAAGGAGGTGGGAAGCAAGCTTTGAAACGGAGCAGAGCAACAGGAGACAGGCAGCAGGTGGCAGAGTCATGGTACCCCCACCATCACACCCACACACCCTCAAACACATGGGCACAGAGCCACCCAGACCAGCCACTGTTGGATCTCAGCAGAGATTTTCAAGGGTCATGGCCACAGTGAGTAAAAGGTGGCCTCTGCCCTATAGCTGTGCCCTATATACAGGTACTCAACCCTGCTGAGACCCCCAAGCTGGCTCTGTTACTTATTAGCAGTGTGACCCTGAGCAAGTCACCCAACTTCTCTGTGTGTCAGTTTTCTCACTCACAGAAGCAGGAAGAATCACACCTGCCCCGTGTGCATGCTGAGAGGATGAAATAAGGCCTGTGGGGCAGAGCCTGGCACAGAGATGTTTCTGGGCCGCCAATTTAGGGTAGTTCTCTCACAAAATGAGAAGTGGCAGGGGGACCATAGTTGATGCATTACTTAGGAGGGTTTTTTTCCTGTTTTGTTTTGTTTTCCGGTGCTGATGATGGGACCCAGGGCTTCATGCATGCCAAGCAAGCAGTCTGCCACTGCCACACTTCCCCAGCCCAGGGGCCATTTTTTAAATTACAAAGTGGTGCTGTTAATTATGCCAGGACCGCAGGCATAAACCAGTGCAAATCCGGGACAAATGCGATGTGCCGTTCCCATAGTGGCAGCCATCTCTGTCCAGACAGGGAGGACTCAGGCCTGAGGGTGACTAAGGGTGACTAAGATTCAGGGATTCCCGAAGTCCGTAAGCCAGGGGGTTCCCAAGGAGCCTGGGACACCATGGGCTCTTGTCAGGTTCCTCGTCATAGCAACAAGTCAATAAGACAAAGCATCTTTGTTCCCAGAGCCCAGGCCAGGTGCCACCCAGCCACAGGCCCCTGACTCTCTCCAGAGGGTGCAGGGCGCAGGTCTGACCCGGGGACAGGCTCTGCCCCTTGACTTAACTCCAGGCAAAGACCTCTCCATCCCGCCTTCACCCCCCACATCTCCCTTGCAGGCATAGATCTCCCCGCAGCCCTTCCGCCGAGGGCACAGTCTGGCCCCCACTGTGGCCCTCCAAAGTGCACCCGTCTCCGTCCACGCTGTCATCGGGGACCCGTGGGGGGGTGGGGGGCCGGGGGAGGCGGGAGCCGGCTTCCTGGAGTGTCCTCACGCAGGGTTGGGGCCTTGCGCCGGGCGGGGACCAGGATGGGCAGGGCACTGGCACAGAATCCGTGGTACCGCGCGGGGGCGAGTCAAGATTGCAGCCTGTCCCACGGCCGCGGCGCTTAACAGTTTACCGAGGGCCTCACGCCTCGAATCTCATTGGCGCCTTTGCCACAGCCCTGCCCATGGCCACCGACGCCCCCGTTCCACGGGTGAGCAAACCGAGGCCCGGCCGAGCCGCGAGCTCCTCGGGAGCGTGCCCGGGGCGCGTGCGGCGCAGGGATTAGAACCCCCGGCCGCTGCGGGCGGCTGGGGCTCCGCCCCC